GTTATAATACACATCTATAAATATTTTCTTATTGAAAGTATAATTTTTTTCAGCGGTTAAATGTTATGAAACCCTAAATTTTGTCAACATTAAAAACACTTGCGTATTTATTAATATGAGTTATTTTGCAATAACATTATAATATTGTATTCAATTTGTTTACAATGCAAATGAATTTGTTCCGACATGTGCCATTGAAGCATTAACTCGCATTATGTATAAATATCTTTGTCCATGCAAACACACATAATTGTGTCGTTTGCTTTATCGCTTTAGGACCCACAAAATTTGCCAAACAAAAGCATTAACCAGTGACTCGCACAAACAAACCAACAAACATTCATGCACTCACATACAAAGTTTAATAACACAAGCAATTGAATCATAATACATATATGCAAATGAAACAAAAAAGTTCTGATTTGTTGTTGTTGGAAAACAAAGTTTTGCCCCAAAGTGTGGCATATTGGCAAAATAATGCCACCTTCAAAGCCACCGTATTCCACAAAAGCCGAAACTCGTGTATTAAATATTTACGGGTGTGTGTATGTATGTTACTATGCGATATTATATTTGTATACCACAAATCACATACAAATCATATTAATCCAAGACCACACACATTTTGCCCACATTGTAAGTTTCAATAAATTTGCTACGCAATATTATTATTGTACACACTCACCACTCAAATTTTCAATAACTCAAACTTTCAATAACTCTGTTCAGCCATTAGTTCTTATTCAAATCATATATTTTACCACAATAAAATTATGTTTATGTTTTTTTAAAGAAGTCCTACATTTGCATACAACCTTCGAATGAAAGCTTTGCTTATTCCGGTTATATTGCGTTTTAGGAATTCTTCATTTGTATGTATGTATGTATGTATGTATGTATGTATGAGAATGCGTACATTGCTTAAAAATAAATTCAATAAACATATTGAATTAAACTTTACGGAGCGCAGAAGTTTTGAATTTTTATCACAGAATTGGATTCTTCGTGATAAAGATAGGCAGATAAAGCGACCCAAAAACTTTGACTGAAGGAATTAAGCTGACCTAAAGGAGCTGACTGATTAAAGGTCACTCCACCCTTCAAATTATGTACGAGTATATAAATATGAAGGTTGACAAAAATATTTCAATAATTATTTCTCAAGACATGATATCCAATATACACACAATTCATGGGGTGTCCTAAAGAGGCTGCTTTTGATCAAATAAAAAGTTATTTTTGTCTTGAAGAGTTAGTCAATCTAGGCATTTTTTTAGCAAAGTCGAATATTTTTAAAGTTTAAAGACATTTTCTTTTTCTTCTTTACTGGCGTAGACACATCTTACGCAGTTGTAGCCGAGTTTCCAACAGCGCGCCAGTCGTTCTTCCTTTTCGCTGTTTGGTGCCAACTCGAGATACCAAGTGCAGCCAAACCTTTTCCACCTGGTCTTCCAATGGAGTGGAGGTCTTCCTTTTCTTCTGCTTTTATCGGCAAGTACTGAATCAAAAACTTTTGCTCCAGAAATGAAGAAGTCACATGATAGGGAGCCTCCTTGTTTGAAACCGTGTCGAGCTACACGAAGGGGTCCTGACAGAGCTTCTGGTGTTACTCAACGTCAGCCTACACAGCTGTATTTGCTTTGAGAGTATACCAAGTTCAGACATAGAGGCAGTTCCTCTTTGTGCTATCGAAAGTGGCTTTAAAATTGACGATGAGGTGGTGAGTTTTGATTTTTTTTGATTTTTTTTGTTTTTAAGATTTGGCGCATGGTGAAAATCTGGTCGATAGTATAGTATATATAATATAGATTAGTTCATCATTGGAGAATCGGGATTGCAACTTTAGATGTTACACTGTCAATGCCGTTTAGCAGGTTGGATAAGTGTTCCCTCCATAATTTCAGTATGTTCTGAATACCAGGAACTAAATCACCACTTTGGGTCCTCTTTATACTGACACACTTCGGACTCTGCAAACACTGCGGTGGAGACTAATAGCTAGACATTGGTATGGCCTTGTAGTTGTTGACTGTCACATGCCAATACGCAATTCTATAAAAAATGAGTTTGAAGGCTAGAACGGTAATAAAACCGTATTTTTTAGTGAAAAACATTAAAATAAGCAAACGGAAATTGTAAGTAAATTTCCCGGATCAAACATATTTCAAAGAAATATATTTTTCTAATTTAGTAAGATTGTCTTTAATTACTATGCCAAACATGAGGGCAAAAGCTCAACCAGTTTTAATAAAACACAATCCTACCAGTGGTATAAAGTCTTGAGAGACGGTCGAGAGATCGTTGAAGACATGCCTAGTTCTGGACGATCTTCAACCTCTTCAAGTGATGAATATATTGAAAAAGTGAAGGATATGGTGCTTTAAAATCGTTAGGCAAGTGTTAGAAAGATGGCCAGAGAGCTCGTTAAC